AGTATTCTTGCCTTGAGGGAGTACTTGAGTGGAGGCCAATTGAGAACTTTTAAAAGTGATGTTTATATTTGTGTGAGGAAGGAGTTGTCCTCAAATTTTATGTTTTTTTGCAAAAGAATGAATAACTGTTGCCTTTTTGTTCAATAAGTTATTTTTAAGGTATGCAATCAATTTTTTTCTTTTGAAATAGTAAATTCTACTTTAATTTAAAATACTCTTATTTTTCAGAGCATGTTGTATATGGTCATCAGTTTATGAATCTGTCAGGTGACAGTTTAACCAATGTCAGTTTATTTGAAGAACACTGTGAAAACCTCTTTTGTGATTTAATAAGCCTGTCGCTCAGCAGGTATGACAAGGTAATGCTTTAAGAGTTTATTTGTATTTTTGACACTTTGTGGCACTAGTCAGTCCTTAATGCATGTCGCTTAATGTAGAAGACTTCAATGTAAAATAAATCTCAATTTTAAAATAGCTTACTAATATCTGATTGCTGAATGGGAAAAGAATTTCAAAATAAACATTCAATGCAGGCTATAATTAGTATCATAAAGCTGTCTAAAAAAGGGTGTTTTTCTTAAACCTCTTCCATGTTTTGGAAAAAATGTGATCTTGATTGAAAGCTTAACTTTTCAAATAGGTGAGGTCAAGTCTAATGACTTGGTGTTTTGTAAAATTAATTGACAAAGTTTAAGGAAGTTTTTGTTTACTTATGTTTACTAATCTAGAACCATGAGGATCAGAACATTTTTACTACAATATACTCCTCATAGGATGCTTAATACAGTGCATGATTTTAAAGTGTCACAGAACCGGGGCTTTGGACCAATTTGAACCAGTTCAATCATGGCTGATACAACAATAACCGAATAGACCCAAATTGAAAAATCTGGGTGATGAGAAATGGCAGCTAGAAAGAAAAAACTATGGGATGCATCCCTAGAATAGCAGCCTCGGAAGGGGTATAGTAAGCCCTTCCAGGAGTCTGATGTGGGTGACTGTCAGGACTGTAGAGAGCCAGTCTTGGAACGGAAAGCAGCAGTTCTACTCTGTGTTCTCTCTCTTTTTTCTCTAGAGCATTGATTCTCAACCTTCCTAATGCCACAACCCTTTCATACAGATCCTCATGTTGTAGTGACCCTGACCCCCAACCATAAAATTATTTTCATTGCGACTTCATAACTGTAATTTGCTACTGTGATAAATTGGGCTACCCCTGTGAAAGGGTCGTTTGACCCCCAAAGGGTTGAAATGCACAGGTTGCGAACTGCTGCTCTGTAGAGTGGCGTACATTCAGAGTGGTGTGATTGGCCAACATCTTTGAGTGGAGCCCCATTAACCTGACTTACTGGCCAAGAGATCAAATTACTAAGTATATGCTGCTCTTATATTCTGAGAAAGAGATTAAATTCTGGTTCCTATTCCAGTTCACCCACATTTTACAAAATTGGAGTGGTTCTGGATTCTCTTCCTCCACTATGACTGAGCAGAAGAATGTAAGCAGGTTGAAGCCCTGCACAGAACATAATCATTTTCCCGAGATGGATATTTATAAGCCCTTATCACTTATTTGAGATTGACACCAAGGAAACCAGGATGTACAACTTTTTAAGATTCAGAAGCAGATGGTGGTTTATGCATTTACTAGCACCACCTTTTGAATGTTTAAAATTAAGTTAGTGGATTAAGGCAATATAATAATAACCAACAGCTAGTATTTTACTACATATTAGAAATATATATTTAACATCTGTGAAATACTGAATACATTGTGTCAGAAGTCTCGTTATAGTTGTAAATTCAGTATACAATCTGTATTATTTAGAAATGCCACTGAGAAAATTTTTGTTAGAAAAATGGTAAATAATTTAGAAATTGCTTTATCTTTATAAATTTCTAAAATTTCTTTTTAACCTGTTTAATTTTTTGTTTTTACTCTGCTTTACAAAGAATTAAAATTTAGTTTCAGAGCTTCTCATTAGCTGTCTTTCCTATTGTAGTTTAGATCAATGTCAGCAGTGTTATCCTCAGTTTTCAGTGAAGTGTAACTGGCACACAGCCTTGCTCAGCCCTGTCTCCGTTCTCCCTAATTACTGTTGCTCAACAATGGCATAGTATAACAGGGCAAGCATTGTGGCTTAGAGAGCGTAATGTATTTTCTCTCTAGCCTATTAAAAAAGAAGTTTACTGAGCACTGGATTAGTTAATTAATGAATGATTAAAGGATAAATGTGGTTGAATTTGAAAATAAAAATTCATTTTATACTCTTTGATATAAAATAGAGTATTTTTACAATTAAACAATTTTTATGTAATTGAGCATACTTTTTAAGTCATTTAAATCATTCACTTATGAGCACCTCATTTTCTTACCACAGGTTAGGCCTTCAGAAGTGTTAATGAGTCATCATTGCCCATGTCCATGCCTTAAAGAATTATGGGTTCTGCTCATTCATCTTCTAGACCACAGAAGTAAATGGTCACTTTCAGAAGTAAGTTTGGAAATAGACATATGACAGTTGTTATTCTATATTGAATTTATTGTAATTATGGCCAAGGAAAACCTTTACGTTTGGGGTCTTTTTTTTCCTGCCAAGGCCGCAGATAACAACTACCAAGAAGACGAACTAAATACTGTGTACCTACTACATTTTAAGGAGTCCTAGTGCAAGGGCAGTGAGTGATTTAATGTGGCTCTGCTAGCCAAAGCCACATTGTTTTTCCCACCAATGACTTTTCCCTGCATGGACCTGGTAAGGAGGTGGAGGAAGAGACTGATAGGACTCCCTGGAGTGCCATCCAGTGGTGTATAATTTGAGCTTCTGAGAAGCAGGAGGAGGAATCTAATCATTACCATCAGTGCATCCTCGACCAGAGATTCCTGCTCAGTGAATCTCCTGGGTACAGATGACAGCTATATCATCAGAGGAGATGCCACAGAACAAGGAGCTAGAACATGGAATAGAATTATGGACTTCCCAACCTACGGAGCAAGTAAAACTGGGTGCTTTTGCACAAGAGGCTGGTTTTTGGAGTGGGATGCCTCTGGGCACTAACAGGGGAAGTTAGCTTTGCTGACCCAGTGGAAGGAGAGCTGTGTATCTTTGGGCTGAGACTTCCTGGAATGAGTTGGCACCTGGAGTGAGTATCCAGGAACTTAATTCAGGATGTTGGGCTTGCTGAACCAAAGCTAAAAATGTAAAACTATTTTGAGCTCTAAATAATTGGAGCTGAGATCTTTTGGGCTGAGTGTACCTGGAGTGGGGTGACTCTGGGCACTTAATTCAGGGAGCTGTATTTGCAGACCCAAGGAGTTTAAGCTGAATGCCTTGGGGCTGAGGTTTCTAGCAGAGAGGTATTCCCTTTGGGCATTTATTAGCAGACTCGGCAGCTATTTGTAACATGTCTTGATAGACAACTCAACCCTGAGCATTCCTCATTGACATTACAACTTGTTAACGTCTCAATAAAGCCTTTAATCCTGTAAATTTGTGAGTTCTGTGGAGCCAAGGCAATGGATATTAGAACCCTGAGAGATAGAGAGTATTAATTAATTCAGACAGTATACCTGGGGAGTGCAAACAATTAACGCAATGGATACTGAATGGAAGGGCGGTGATTCAAGTCCACCTAGATTTATCTTCAAAGAAAGACCTGGCAATGTATCTACAAAAAATCAGCCTTTGAAAACCCTGTGGAGCACAACTGTACTCTGACACATATTGTGCTAGTTACATAATCTGGTGTCAATTTGAGACTTGACAGGATTAAGAATGAAGGGGTGGAGTCTAGTCTGTCAGTCAAGTCATAGCCAATGAGGCCTCTGTGTGGGTGTGGCCTTCTGAGAATTCTGGAAACTCCTGGGATTTTTCCTCCTTGGAGGCAGGCAACACACTTTCTCTCCTCACTCCCTGAGAGACTTTTCTACTGACAAGACACATGGTGCTGCGCCTTGGGAACTGGAGAAGCCTCATGAACCTACCCTGATGGAACCAGAACTCAGTGGAGGCAGAGAAGCCACGTAGAGACCCCGTGCCCTGAGAACCAGAGAAGCCATGTGGAGACGATGTTTACAACGCCACTGGATCCAAAGACTTTCTACCTACTGGCTTGTGATTGTCCTGTGTTTGGCATCATTGCATGTGTTTCATGAGTCTGAAGAGAACTTTATAGATTGATGTCGGACATGGCTTAGAGTGGACTAGGTTGGGATGCTTTCTTAATGTACAATTACCCTTTATTTGAAACTCTCTCTTATTCACATAAGAGTTTCTATGGATTTGTTTCTCTTGTCTACCCGGACTAACACACATGGAGAAATGATGGGTTAGAATCAATTTGTGAGCAACAGGTCAAAACCTTATATTTAAGCCTAAAATGAATAATGCATCTAGCAGAAATACAAAATTTGACTCTTATTTTCCCAAGTACATTTTTTTTTGTTCCCTCTGGAATCTTTTACACTGCAATGTGTAATATCCTTTAGCAATTACAGATAAATTAAAGGATGTAGACTACATAAGCAGAGGTTTATAGTATTCAGGTTTACAACATCTGATTTTAAGGAGGGAGGAAGAGAAGCACAAAGACAGGCCTTCTTCCTCCCTCACCTATTTTGAGTCAGATCTTCAGAAAGAGACTATATTTTACAGCAAGTGTTTTGAGGTAGTTGTGTGTTATTGACCCTGTTCTGACTTGTAACCCCATGGCCCAATTGGACAGCTCCATAGGTTTTCCTCGGCTGTAATCTTTATGGGAGCTGATTGCTATTAGTAGAAGAAGAAAAACATCCTTAAGCTGATGTAAGTACATAAAATTTCTTGTGAAAATTATTAAAATTGGTTATAATATATGGAAACTCTACTTAGGCCTTTCATGGCATATTTAATTTCCAAATTTTCCACAATTTGGAGTTTGGCTACTGACTAGTCATAAATCTGAAGTTTTGCAGATTTGCAAATTATATCTGTGTGTGTGTGTAATTTTTTTGAAGGAGCCTTGGTGGTACAATAGGTTAGGTATTGAGCTGCTGTCCAAATGGTTGTTTGAACTCAGCAGCTGAGAGAAAGGGAAAGTCAGTCTGCTTCTAACGTATCGTGAGGGGATAATAATTACCCCTTGATGGAGAAACAGATTGATTTGTGGCCAGTTGCAGAGGTTTTCTACAATACTAGTAATTTTCTGGTTCTTTTTCTAAATTTTGTTGGGTATGTTTGTGTACATGTATGTATAGCATTGAATTTACTATTTTAAACATTTTTAACCATACGATTCATTGTGTTTTATGCCTGATTTATTTCAGATAGCTTAATGCTTTCAAAGTTCATCTTGGCATCATGAAGTACTAGAACTTCATTTTTTATTTCCTCATTCTCATTTCTAATATTCCACTGTGTGTATATATATATATATTCCACATTTTGTTTATCCATGCATCTTTTGATGGACACTTGGAGTCTTTCCACCTTTTGGCTATTGTGAATAAGGCTGCAATAAACAACTGTCTGAATCTTTTTCTTAGACGAACAACTGTTTCATTGAACAAGTATCTGAGTCTGTGAATTCATTTCCCACCCCCCACCCCCCACTTTTTTTTTGGAATCTGTTTAAGACTTTCTGGGTCATACGGTAATTTTATGCTTAATTGTTTGAGGAATTAACCTTTCCCCTAGTAACAGTATCATTTTACATTTCCACTGGCAGTGCGTGAAGGCTCTGATTTCTCTACATCCTCACCAACCCCTAAATTTTCTGGGTGTTTTTGTTTTTCTGTCTTTTATTGTTAATTGTATTTTTAAATAATAGCCAGCTTAGTGGCTATGAAGTGCTCATTGTGTTTTAATGGAATTTTCTTAATAATGTATGATGTTGAACATCTTCATGTGCTTATAGGCTATTTATGTATCTTTAGAGAAATGTTTAAGTCATTTACCAATTTTTTTCTGTTTGGTTGTTGAATTGTTAGAATTTTTTACATATTAAGTCCTTACCAATTGTATTGTGCAGTCAGTGTTTTGTTTTTCTTCTGTATTTTCTAATATACATTGAATGACAACGCATAATTCAGATAAAATTAATGAATAAAAGTTTATTAAGGAAATTAATAGGATTGAATTATCAGGACATGTTACAAAGTTCTGCCAAATCTGCTAATAAATGCCCAAAAGTTATACCACTCTGCTCCAAGCCTCAACCCAAAGGCATTCAGTAGCCCCAGCCCCCTGAATTAAGTGCCCAGAGGTATCCCACCACAAAAAGCCTCAGCTCTAAGGGATTAAGTTCCATTCCCATGGGTCAGCAAGTCCAACCTGTCCAGTGAAGTGTCCGGAAGCACCCCATTCCACAAATCAGTTTTTCGTACTCTGTGGGTTGGGAAATCCACCATTCTGTTCCACACTTTGGCTCCTGCTCTTCTGCTGCTCCTCTGATATGTACAGTATAGCTATCTTCTGGACCCAGGAGGTGCTCTGCCTAGGAATCTTGGGTCCAAAGGCTGTGCTCGACTCCTGATTCTGCTGGTAATGAGATCTCTCCTCCTGCTTCTCAGAGGGCTAGAATTAATACAGCTGGATGATACTCGGTAGGGAATCTTGTTTGAAATTATTCACAGCTAAATCCTATCAGTGTCTTCCCCCACCTTCTAACCACACCCATGTAGGGAAAGGTCCCTTTGTGGGAGTTAGAGACTGGCTAGCAAAGCCACATCAAATAATTCACTGTCTTTGGAATGTAAGATCTCCAAATATTTTCTATCATTCTGTAGGCTGTTCCACCTTCTTGGTAAGGTCTTGGCGGCACAAAAGTCTTTTAATATTGTAGCTGTTCAATTTGTCTTTTATTTTAAAATTGATGTAATTCACAAATCATAGGATTCAGTAGTCTAATCATCTTAACAGTTTGTCTTTTTATTCTTGTTTTACTCATGATTTTAGTGTCATATCTAAGAATCTATTGCTAAAATCAAGGCCTTGATGATTTATGTTTATTTTTAAATTTTTTATAGTTTTACCTCTTATATTTATGTCATTGGGTGTATTGTGAGTCCAACTTTATTCTTTTGCATATGGCTGTATCTTTTAATAGAGATTACGTTCAATTTGTAGATTACTTTGTATTAATGACATTAACAATATGCCACTTCCTAATTCATGAAATATATTTCCATTTAAATAGGTCATCTTAATTTCTTTCAGCAATTTTTTATGTTTTTCAGTGTGTATGTTTTTTATCTCCCTGATTAAATATATTTGTAGATACTTTATTTTACACATCATGTTCTTAATCCTTAAACTCTTAGGTAGGTATTTTTATTCCATATATCGTATATTATATGTTTTATATTCTCATGTATATGGTATACTTTGTTATAAACATGGATAGAAAGGCCAAAATTAAAGGTTATAGGAATTAACTACATCTTACTTTAACTGAATCATATTGCCTCTTTTTCAATAGTCATTTTGGAACTCGATGAATCAACTTCTTAAAACACTCTTTGAAAAATCAAGTAACCCAAAACGACATCTGCCTATAATCCAGTGCAGAGATCCATTAGGTTTTAGTTGGTGGATTATTACTCATGTAGCATCGTTATACCAGTTTGATCGCCATGGAGTGTCAGATGAAATGGTAAGCTCTTGTTTTAAACTTTTAATTATCACTAATACTTGTTTTCTTATACACTGATACAGAAGTAAGTGATTGGAAATAATAAGAAAAATCATAACACAATGGAAGAGATAAATTCAGCCTTTACATCTAGAAGCTGCAGTCCTTGTAGACATTTTGAAAAATGATGATAATCTTGTTTTCATTGTTAATTAAAACAAAAAGTTGTCAAAGCTTTGGGCTACAGTCCTGGCTCTGCTAATAGTTTTGTGGCTTTCAATAAATTAGTTAGACCTTTTGACCATCTGTTTTCTCATTTAAATTCTCAAGATTAAAGCGGCTGATTATTACAAAGGTTTCTGGAACCTCTAAGAAAGCCACAGGGAAAGCATATATCTCCAGAAATGTTCTTGTGAAAAGTTATGATAAATCATTTCCTTAGAATCACACTCACTTCTTTACAAGAGCTTTTTGCAAAGAAACTTTATTAAGAAATGGTGACATTTGTTTCAAATAGAAGACAGATTTTAACTGGTATGTCAATTTCTACTAGAAAACATGTTTTGGGTTTTTTTTTTTTGCCATGTTAGTTAAAAATCTCCACGAATAAAACTGTCTGGTAGATGTATTTATCTGAATGTTTTTATATAATTTCTTCTGCATTACAAATGAATAATGCCGTGTATTATTTCAGTCCTCCATTTCCATAAACTAGGAATTTAGAATCTGGGAGTCATTGTGCCTAGTTACTTAAATTGGCCTTTTTTATGGATTAGGAGCCCTGCTGGCATAGTGGTGTTCATAGAGCTGCTTAACTGCAAGGTTATCAGTTTGAAACCACCAGTCACTTCCCATGAGACAGACCAGGCTTTCTACAACCATTAAGAGTGACAGTCTCAGAAACTCACGGGGGCAGTTCTACCTCATCCTTTATAGCAGTTATGAGTTAAAACTCATAACTCGATGGTGGTGAGGGTTTTTTTTTTATGCAGTTGTTTTCCCAAATAGCCTGGGAATCAGACAGCTGTGAGGTTTTTAAAAATCCAAATCTCTAGATCTCAACTCTTGAGATCCTGATTTCATACATGTGCTGTAGAATTTTGGATTCCTTACTTTTAAAAATTCCTTGGTTTTTATCCTTTATCAGATATGAGAATCATTATTTTATGAAATTTTGGCTTTGACAGATTTTTTTAAGAGAGAACAGAGTCATTTCTGTCATCTTTAATCAAATCATTCATGGAATTTGAGGGTCAGTGTGTGCTTGAAAAAACATCAGCATGCCCTCCACATGATCCCCTAGTAATAAGGTGGAATTCTAGAGTAAAGAGAGATAACAAATCAGGAAGTGCTCTGAGAAGTTCACACACAGCTCAGTACCAGTGTATGTATGTATTCTGCTAGTGTACTGAAAGGAAGCCATGGAGAGAGCTTCTCACAGAGAAGCACAGTTCTTTATTTCAGTAGATGAGTTCGTACTATGTTCACACACAGTACATATTCAGCGAATGTTAAAAATGGCCATTTTACTGTCATATTTCTTTTATTAAATATTTTTGGATTTGAATATGATATTTCACAACTTTTAGTTACTAGTTATCTTAAAAATCTTAATTTTTAAAATTATATAGAAGACTTTACAAAGAAAGATGATCATGATTTCAAAAAGAACCTTTTCTATTTGTACGAGCCCCCAATAAAATGATTAAATTAAAAAAAAAGTAAATGTCTAGAAAAGAATGAAGGCAACATATGTACACATTCGCCTGATGCAAGCGATGTATGGATTGTAACAAGAGTTGTAAAAGTCCTCAATAAAATGATCTGTTAATTTAAAAAAAAGTATAATGTCTTTGTATATGTAAAATAAATTTTGTCTTGTTCTGTCCACAAAAAGTTCCAAAGTAATTTTAGACTTCTTAAAGACTTCTAAAGAAGACTCAAGCTGCCAAGTAATAGTTGCTTGTATTATGGAGTATTGTCTTCAGCTGATTGCATTTACAAAGTGTTTAACACTGCACAGTAACACATTTTATCTCATAGTGAAGTTTTATGAAGTAGTTAAAAGGGTGATAATGATGTCCATTTTACAGGTGAAGAAATCAAGGTGTACATTAGTTACATGCTACCTTTGCCTTTTCACTTGAATACATTTCGTATCCAGTTCCCTTCAGGGTTGCCTTTTATGAATAGGTTCTTGGCAGCATCACCATAAAGGAGCCTTGGTGGCACAGTGGTTCAGAATTTGGCTGCTAACTGGAAGGCTGGTGGGTCAAACGTACTTGGCTGCTTCATGGGACAAAGTTGTGGCCCTTTGCTTCTGTAAAGATGTAGAACCAGTTCTACACCATCCTGTCTGATTACTATGAGCCAGATTCCACTCCATGGTAAAGGGTTTGCTTTGGGGGGACTGAGATAAAATTGTGTCCCAATTTGCCAGCTATGGTACCAGTGTGTGCTGCCTGTTGCCTCGTCCTACCTAGGTAGTTTCCCCTTTACTTTCTAAAGTTCTCTCTGGTTAGTTAATAATTTATATAGTTATTCTGATCTGTGAACTTTGAGACATTTGACTCATTCCTCTCAGATTATAAGGGATGTATTTGGATCTGAATTTGAAAATTGCCTGAATTGGTTTTTTCCCTTGATCTAATGTATTAGCATCGCCAACTACAATGAGAAAATAGTGACGCAATATGCATGCTTCATTCTATGAAAGAGTAAATTGGTGTGTGAGGATGACATGCCGTAATCATGGTTATTCAGATGTTCTTCAGCAGAGAAGTGCCTCTAGTCCTGAGATAGCCATGGAGATAGTACAGTTTTTAAACAAACTGCGTTTCCCTGAAGGTTAATGTGTAAAATCTGTACATTTTAAATGGCTTTCAGATGTGGTTATTTTTTATTTTGACAGTTTCTTAACATGGACTTTTTGCTATAGGTAGGTTTAAAGTACAAAACTAGCCAATTTCGTAGTAGAGGCCCATTAGGAAATGTTGGTATCTCACTTCTTGTACTAGAGGCTTTAGAATTTCATGCATTTCTGCTTAATGCTTTTCTCTCAGAGAATGTATTATCCTCTCACAATCCCATCTATCTAGTTGAAACAAATAGGGTTTAAAGAGTAAAATCACTCTGGGGCCTTGCAGGGTCACTTTAACTTTGCTTTCCCTGCCCTGGACACAGTGCAATCAGTCAAGCTAGCGGATGCTCATCTTGAAACGTCAGAAATGACGCCTAGATAAAATGTGAAATACAACCTTTGAATGAGAGTTGCACCAGGCTAGCTAGTCTGCTGGAAGTGGGGGAGGGAGATCTATTTATAGGATTGGAAGATACCACCTATAGTAAAGCTCAAGTGAATATCTCCGTTTTGATGGTGGTATAAAGACTGTGAGACATAGCACCAAGCTGATGGCGTCTTACCTCAGTTTTATCAGCTCTGATTACGTTAGGTATAACTTAATTGGCAGACCAAAAGAACCCTGTAATAACCGCTGACGAAGTTAATATTTCCTGTAAAAACCTGCTTCCCTTTGACATACATTTCCCTATTCATATTTGATTTTGACATGATATAGTTGTCATTAGTCCCTTCAAAGTAAGGTTTGATTTTGTTTAAAATGTAGTTGCATACTGACTCAGATAGTTGAAATTCTTTGGGCAAGAGTGATAATGCTTTCTATAGTTCTTGTAACTCGAATCCCTTAATAGAAGAGAGGAGCTGTACTCATTAGCAGAATCAAATTGTAAAACACAACTTTAATTGTTCAACCCTCTCAGGCTCTTTCTTACCTAGCAATAGGGGTGACATTTTAAAAATAAAGAATTATAGAAAACATTGAGTTGCTGAAGCTGGAGGGAAAGCCTTGAAGGGGAGAGAAAGAGCAGTTCATGAGCCTGGAAGGATGCCCCCTGGCGTTTGGGGCCCCACACTCTTAGGTATGAGTCCATGCTCCAACGGTGCATGTAACTTTTCTTTCATTGTCTGTGAAATGGAAAAATGTCCCATGAGGAAATAAGTATAGAGCCTCACATGATGCCCAAACAGCATTAATCTAGCAAAATGATTTCTGAGAGAGTTTTAAGGCCGTTGGCAAAATTTGAAACCATAAATCCCAAGATCTCACTGACTTGTGACACTAATTTCAGATTCAGGAGTTTCCCAAGGACTCACAGAACTCACTGGGAACTATTGTATTCAGTTATGGTTTCTTACTGGGAAAAGAGACAGATTAAAGTCAGGCAAGAGAAGATGTGCATCAAGTAGCATTCCAGAGAGTTGCCGAGTGTGGGATGTTGTCTTCTCCGTCTGTTGTCAACACGAGGTACTCTCGACATTGGTTTGTGACAATATGCACAGCATGTTGCCAACCAAAAATACTCATCTTCGCCTAAGTATTCAGAGTTTTTATTAGGGCTGCATTACCTAGATATGGTTGGCTGATGGATTGATTTAACCATGTGGTTGATTTCAGTTCTGAGGTGATTGAAATCATGTGATCCAACCCCTCGATCTTGTTTTAATTGCATTTCATGCCTTTTTTTACTTTCTGTACCTTTGGGGTGGTGTGGGGTAAAAAAACTGCTTATTTCTTGATTTCTCTTGGAGGGCCTCTAGTTTTTAATTAGGAATAGTTTGTATTTAGACCATTAACTGATTATCAAGCAAACTGAGTGTCTGGTAAGGAGGTTCTCTGGGCTTCTTTGTTGGAAAAGTGGAATTATCCTAGCCTTTGTAAAAATATTTTGGCTCTGTGAAAGTCCCTTTTAGTGTTCTTCCTCATTACCGAAACTCTTCAGATACTTGAGATGGCCAGAGAAGTGACTTGACTGATAAAGGTAGCACTCGTAAAGCTTTCCGTTCTGTATGTTAGTTTAAGATGCACTGTTTACTGGTCCAGGGTATATGGGGCTGTTGTACATAAAATGAAGGGCAAAAATCTCAATGCCGTAAGGATGTGCATTTTTTTTCTTGACAGTACTCTGACAAAATTTTAATTTTTGTTAAAATAGTTATAATTTTATGAAAACACCACTGTTTAGGAAAGCAACTTCTGATAAGGTTTATATCAGATTAGAACATAATCATTTACTGTATAATGTCAGCTCCAGCAAGATCCACCTGCTTTTTATGTTCATGATCCCTTAAGGTTATAATAAAATTCTGGAAATCCCTTTCACAAAACAGGATGTAGCACACGCAACATATTGTGCATCGCACATGTATTTCATGTTTCTTGAAGAGAAAGTGTGTGTTGCCAAATGTATAAGGGTTTAATATATATTTGAATTTACCACACATATATCTTGATAGTCATAATCGATACCTATGTTACTGGTTTATGTATTGTCTATCTAAAAAGTTTACTGTATATAAGTGTGTGCTTTCACTCATAGACAAAAGCATCCAATCTATGTATCCCATGCCTTTCATGTGTTGTAGAATTATCTCTGTCTAATGTTTTTTTGCAAATATTTCTATGAAATCTATAATGGCCTACAAATGCAGGAAACCAGCGATAGCAGCAGTGAGAAGCAAAGAAGTACCAACTTGGGAGTAAAACAAAAGGTTATTCAACATCACAAATGTGGAATCAATGAATGCTATTGCGTACGATTTAGCAATTTCACACTCGACAATCCTGATGATCGTCAGAAACGATGAAGAATTCTCCAAGCTCATCCCCTCACAGATGGGTCACAAGGAAGGACGAGTCAGCCAGGGTGCACTATAGCACCGATGAAACACACAACAATCCTCTAGTTCTTTAATGCTTCCTCACCCCCAGCACTATCATGACCCCAGTTCTACCTTACAAATCTGGCTGGACCAGAACATGTACACTGCTACAGATAGAGCTCTCAATGCGCAGAATCCAGGGCAGATAACCCCCTCAGGACCAATAATAAGAGTAATGATACCATGAGGGTAGGGGGAGGAAGGGGGAACTGATCACAATGATTGACATACAAATCCCCTATCCCCACCCCCCCAGGGGGACAAACAACTGAAATGTGGGTGAAGGGAGACAGTGGATGGGGTAAATATGAAAGTAAAAATAATTTATAAATTATCAAGTGTTCAGGAGAGTGGGGAAGGGAGAGGAAAAACGAGTTGATACCCTAGGGCTCGAGTAGAAAGAAAGTGCTTTGGAAATGATGACAACATATGTACAAATGTGCTTGTTACAATTGATGTATGGATTATTATACCAGCTGTAAGAGTCCCCAGTAAAATGATTTATTAAAATTTAAAAGAAAAATTCTCCAGGCTGATAAAAAATTGGCTCCACTGAAAGCTATAAGACTAGTAGACATACAAGAGGGCCCTATGTTAGATATGGTGGCATTGCTAATGATGTGGAGTGTGGGGCAAACACAAGAATGAATCTGAACCTCCCTGTCAGCATGTTGATCAGTGCCAAGGCAGGAAGCTTGTTTGAGATGCTTACACAAAAAGTTGGCCCAGACCAAGGTGCTTGCCATGTCCAAATCATAGGAAGCCCTGTTTCACAGAATGGATCATGGATGTTAAGCGATCCATGGCCACAGTAAATGTTTTTCTAAGAAGTATGTCATAAAACTCTTTGCCAAAGTATTAGAGATTCAAGAAATTGCAGTTAATGCTTAATGACAAGAGAAAACATTTGTATTTCACATCTCTTTCGCTGTGCTATAATTTTAAATACATGTAATGAACAGTGGATGTAACAACAATATCTTCCCTTTCTAGAGACAATTGGAATCAAATTGGAACTTTGTGGAAGAGCTGCTGAGAAAGTCCATCAGTGTTCAGGTATGCATTGAATGAAAGGAAATTGCTGAATTTTTACTACAGATTTTATTTGGTAGAACCAAACAATCTATTCAGATGGTTTTAAAAACAAAATAGTTTACTTTTTAAAAACGGGAGATAGAATCATAATTTTGTGTCACTGAAGAGTGAAGAGTCACTGCATAGTGTCTTTTAAAGAGTCTTTTTTTTAAAAAGTACTATTAACAGTTAAGTTCTCAGTTAAAGGAAGGACAAAGATAGTTATCCAGGTTGGCAAAATTGACAGAATGTGTTCAAAATAAGTGGTAGATACTTGGAACTATAAACCAGGCATTGACTGGACAGTAGTGAGTCTAGAAGACATGATAAGGGAGATAGTGGTGCCATTGGAAATTCAGCTGTGCCTCCATCACAGCAGGAAGGTGACTTGCCGTGCTGAGCAATTTGTCTTACAGGCTTGAGTTATCCTTTAACTGATAAGGTCCTGTTTCTGAGCACTCATTTCATACCTTATCATTTTTCTTTCCGTAGTGCAGTTAAAGTAGTGCTTCGGGGCCCAGAGGGCAGACTTGACCTCTTTTTAAAATAATTTCAGATATGGTGTTCATCACATCTTTAAACATGTTGTATTGTAGCTCGCTAGATTTGTTCTTAAATGCATGTTATCATTTATATAAGTTTAAGAAAAATTAAGTCAAGAACATTTTTAAATTTGGAAAATAAATTCCTATTCTGTTAATAAAAGTTGTTTGAAAATTACTTTTAAAGAAAAATAACTGAAATGTAGTAGTGTAAATTTGCATTTTCATGATATGGGGTAGTAATCATATCTCTGGAAATTAGTCTTAGTAACTTCACATACACCCGCTATCTCTCTAAAACACACACCTTTACAGTAAAGCAGGGTGAATGCACTTAGCTATGACTCTTTCAATTCGGACTTAAACATTCTAGCTTAGATTGTGGTCCACAGAACACTGCAAAAATACACTATCAGAAACAACACAGCCAGTGCCCTTTTAGAATGCTTTATCCTACCACTTTGAAAGTTTTTGTATATTTTAACTTTTTCTCTTTTTCTTATTTCTCTGAAGTGGCTTCCTTTTACTTTTTGGAAACACTGCTTTAGTAACTCAAGAAGTTTCTTACATAGTTTATACTTAGCGAATGTAGAGATTCTGAAAACCAGTCACCATTTGCATCATTTCTATTAGCTGTTAAACTGGTATTTCTTCCTTAGCATAGTTTAAAAGACTCTTTGTTAAAAAAAATAAATGAGAAAAAGACTCTTTGTTAAAACTGAGTGAAATAAAATGTGCTGTTGTTTGGATGGTGTTACATTTTGCTGACCAGTTAGTGCATCTAGGAGCAGTTTTGAATTCTAAATGAAGATGTAACTGTTCTTTAGTTTTCTCTCTGGCACAGGTAGAAGCCAATAGTATGTATCAGTAGACAACCAAACACTTTTACTATTTGTCAAAGTCCTTGCAGCTCTACCAAAGCTAGCCGATCTTGACTCACAGTGCCCCATGTGAGTCTTTATTGCAGCAGATAGTTTCAACTTTCTCCTTTGGAGCAGCTGGTGGGCTTGAACCTTTCACCTTCCAGCTAGTCATTGTGTGAATTTAGAGTTCCCTTCAGCTAAGCTTGAGTTAAGAGTATTAAGGAGTCTCTGAATATTTATATTAGCAAATACATGCATATCCAGTAATGGCAAAAGATCAATAGGACGATACTTTGTCATTATTTCTGTGATATGGAAAAGTTTTTTGACTAAAAGTTTGAAAACTCCGCACAAGCCTTTACTTGCTTGGAATTATAATATTTGCCTTTGAATTATGATTCCATATAATTTTGATTTAAAGGGAGGAAACTTGTTTCAGAAAAGAATTACTCTTAGTTCAGATGTCTTGCTCATAATGCTATAAAACTTTTTGCTATTAAAACTTATTATGCTGCATAGTAAACATTGCCAACAGTAGTATTTCTAATGATAGAAGTTAAAACTATTTCGTAATTAATAATTCTGGAAGTATATAGTGAACAACAATTTGGGTTTGTCTTGAGACTTAAGGTTAAAACTAGGAAAGTCCTGGGGAACCCAGTCAGTCATGCTAGAACAGAAGAAAGCTGTTGGGTTGCTTTATTTATTTGGGTTAAAGAAAGTGCAGTTAATCTGAGAAATTTTCCGTGTGAATTTAAATCAGGCATCAAGTAAAAGTAACCTCTTTTGTTTGGGAGAAAAGGTCATTATGATACTTAGGAAGAAGTATTTAATTTTCTCAGGAATTCTCCAAAGTTGTAACATGCCTTGATTGTATCAAATTATATTCTTTAAGTAGTCTAAGACGGTTTGCTGGAGTTCTTGAAACCAATTTAGTGGGTGCAGTAGGTGGTCATAAAGGATATGTTTAGACAGAGCTATCAGTTTGATTATATCTGGTTCCCCCTATTGAGGTAAATGAAAAACCGACCATGCTCATGCTGTGACTTATCTCCAACAGAGTCCCATTGCAGTAATAATAATCAATAGCCATGCCCCAAATAATCGTAGTTCAAATAGCATTGTAGTTTTAACTAAGCAAATAATCTGTTTAAAATAGTTTTCTGTCCACCTAAAGATGCTCTTTTAGGAAATAGATGCCTAGCTTTCCTTTAGTAAAGAAGAGCCTATGTTGTTCAGTCCTATTTGCTTTAGAAATAGAGACCGAAAATAGTAAACATTTATTTCTTTAAAGTAGCACTATTGTTTTCATATGAAAAAGGACTCTCTTTAGTTTCATATTATTTCTTTATAAAGACCAGCTGATTTTCTGAGATCATATGAAAAACAAAACTTGCAATCAAGTCAATGCTGACTAATAGTGACCCATGGTGGATTTTCCAAGATAGTAATTGTTTAGAGGTGTAGGAAGCCCATTCTTTTCCTGAGAAGCTGCTGGCAGTTTTGAAGTGCTGACTATGCGGATCACAGCCTAGAGTGTTTTATGGCCCTGGAAGGGTATATGAGGAGATCCTAAGCCAGCCCTGATAATTGTTAAAGGATTATTTTAATTTGTCAAAGACTTTAATTTGGAAAGTCTAAGACCAGAAACAACTCAGAGAGTGATTAAATCAGAATATTGTATGATAGTGATAACCCAGTTACTAATTAAAAATCGTATTTCCTGATCAGAGGGTCTTAAGTGGAAGATTGAAGTGCAACATTCTTTAGTCTCTTTAAAGTTGGGTTGAAAAATAAAAGCCCAATCAGATAGCTAGAGAGGGTTGCCACTAGCTTAAAAATAAATCTCATTCTTTTGGTGGTTTCTGATAAACTCTGGTGGTGCAGTGGCTATGCGTTG